TAAGGTGAAAACAAGAATCCGACCCCACACGGAGGCACATGAAACTTTGATAACGCTTATAAAGCATCACCTACATAATGTTTATAAAGAGGAATGGCGTGAAATACAATCTTCAAGCTGAGCTGAGGATGACAACTGTCAGTGAGATAGGTATCCAAAAATATGTTGAATCCAAACACATCCATTAACGCCTTTTTTTTTTAAAAAAAAAGGAAGCAAACTGTCTAAACGACAGATTTTGCTCCTTTCTAATTTGCACTCCTTGCCTGTTTAAATGAAGCTACTGAGCTGCCCCCTTTCACACACTGATGCTACTTTTCTTCTGGAAGGAGTGTTTGATAAGTTGTGAGCAAGGGCCTGAATTCAAATTTCAATTTGTAATTCTGTGAATGCCCACCCTCCTCTGAGCAGTTGTACTTAAAAAGGTGCTTGAAAATGTATTGCAGCTAGATGTCACTGCTGAGCAGTGTATCCAGTGAAACCAGCACATGACTGTGGGATTTCATTTAACCTGTTTTTTAGCACCTGTGAAGAGCAGATCAAGAGAATCAGCAGGTTATTCGAGCTGACATGAATTTGATGATCTGTGTGAAATGATATGAGAAAAAAGTACCTTAATGCTGAATGAATGCCAAGGCCAGGCATTAAATAACACAGGATGTCTATTCAAGTCTTCCCTTTATACTTGTTCATTGTTTCATTACTCTTATAGATAACATAACACCTACAGGTCGGATGGGAAAGAATGCGTTTAATATGCACTGCTTTCACCTTTTGATAAAACACCTCCTGTGATCTGTTCTAACCTTTTTAAAGGGGCTTGTGTAGATCATGAGAATGAGAGCGTTTATGTGAAGTTGAATGTGTTGTCTTCTGGGCAGTGAGCTACAAAGGCACCATTTGTGCACTAAATAAGGGCCACTGGGAGATGGACCTCTGGTTCCAGTGAAATAACAATACAGACGCAAAACCTTTGCTGCAGTGTTTTACTAGTGGTGACCTTGTAAGTTTCCCTAAAATCGTGCAAATAAAAGCAAGCTCTCACCTTAACAAGACTGCAGTTAGGACCACATCAATGATATGAGGCCTGTGAATCATGATGGCTCTGACTCGTACTTTAGAAAAATAAAAATAAAATAAAAAGAGTTAGGCAGTATTTCAAATAACAATCGGACTCCTTTCTGCACTGAAGAGAGAAACCTGAAGCACCTAAAGTAAACTTTAAAAATCAATGCACTTTGTCCACTTGTGTTCATAGTGGACTAAAT